AAAGCCCGTTTCGCAGACGAGAGGCCATTTGGCCCAGATGGCTCATTTGGCATTCCGCTCTCTGATCCAAGCTGCTCCTCCGAATGATCAAAGCATGCGTGCGCCCCCCCCCAGCCAGACACCCACCCACCCAACGCGGCTCTGCGGTTTACTCCAAAAACTGCGGAGTCAGAGTCAGGGGCTCTCCGCTCCTGTGATTCGCTGCAGGCTCGGAGAGAGTGCGAGAGGCTCGGGGAAGTCGCCCCCCCGCTGCTGGCTCTTAGTTTACAGACATTGGAGACCTCGTCGGGGGGGGGTGGAGTGGAAAAGCACGCTCCGGTTTTTAATCCAAAGTGCTTCTTTTCTAAAGGTTGCCCACTTACATCTGGTTAACTGACGCGTCCGGGGGCTGGCGAGTTCACAGTCCTGTTTGCTGGCTGGAGAAGGGCTCTTGCACGTTAAAAAACCCGCCGTCGATTTCAGAATTTTACATCACTAGAACCAATGATCGCCGCCCTTGCGTGAAGTTGGACCCGGGTGCATCAGCAACGCTAGGCGAACCCCGTTCATGAGCTGTCCTTAACTCACGTGCACAAGAAACGATCTGCTAACGAGTTCACAAACGGTCGGATTAGGCAGACACATCCTCCTGATGCAAGTCACGGACGTCGGGGATCGCTTGGACAAAACTCTGCTCGAGAAGGCAGAAAAGAAGCTATCTTAATAGTAAACACGTTGTGCTTGCCGAAATGAAAGTTGCGTCGGACGGATCTCAGTACTAACAAAGAACTGACCACAAATTCCAGAGCCCACAAAGTGTTACTACACTGCGAGTGCATGCCTGATTTATTACACAACATCAGCGTTGGGATCCTGTCCAGAATCCTACCAGTGACACAGGAAAGCAGACTGCACAGTTTGATTTTTTTAACCTTTGTTTTGCTTGGAGTTTGCTGAAACAGCTCCAGTTGAATCTAATCTCCAAAGACTAATCACTTGCAGGCTCAGCCTACCCCTTATTTTCGAGAAAATATGGTCCAGTAAATATACTATTGTTCCACTAAATACCATACTTATCTCGAAAACACATGATTCAGTGGAAATGCATTTCCGAAACCTCCAGTTACAGGAACAATTCTTTCCAAACTGTTATTGTTTAGTTCTACCAATACAATAATAATAATAAAAGGCTTCAAATGCTTCCAAAAACTTCATGATGCCTTTCTTGCATTTTTGCGCAAACCCTCTGCTCTTTGAACAATGCTTTTGAAAACCCCCTATTGATAAAAAGCACATTGTCTGAAACCTCAACTAGAATTCTTTCAATCCATAAACCGCAGCTCCTAATTGCTAGCAAAAACATTTAGAAATCCCATTCCCTGAAAACATTTCAAACCAACCTCTTCTTCAAAACAGATTTACT